CTCTCTCTCTCTCTCTCTCTCTCTCTCTCTCTCTCTCTCTCTCTCTCAGGTTGTGGAAATATCTGGTAATGCATTGTAAAAATAGCCTGTGTTTAAAGGTGTGTACACAATTTCACAGAGGGAACCGTCTCCAACACACACTTCAGTAGAGGTGTTCGAGTTTTTAGATTGACCATATGTCATGCACTGGAAATAAGTTGGGATTAACCATTACTGCCTGTGATGTATGCGTCTGTCACAAAAGCAGACAATAAAATCAATATTCAAAAAGCTGAGCCTGAATGGGGGGGGGGGGCCCTTCACAGCTCAGGCCGAGGGACCAGAAGAAGAGGCTGGAAAAACAGGAAAACACTTTCTGTTTCATGCTCTCTTTTGGGGATTTCACCACTGTTTGTGGCAGAGGTATAAGCCGACACCGTTCACTCTCAGGCTTGTTCTTCAAACACATTTCCCTCGATCCATCACCAAAGCCTGGCGTCAATTAGAAATTACAGCCCCACCGAGTTCAAAGTCTTTCTGTCACAACCTTGATTAAGTCTGCTTAACCTCACATTTCCACCGCCCTGCTTAACATTCTACAGCTGTTTTATTCGGCTTTGGTCATTACTGCACCAACTTCAAAGGCTCCTCTTTTCCCCCCCCGTCATTTGAAAATGCATGTCAATCACACACACATCGCCCAGGGACATCAAATGGATTCAGGCAAACATGCGATTCCCTCTCAGAACAGTTCACGTCTGGTCAACTTAACGACAACATGGAGACACGACTGTCAGGGGGAGATATGTGGGGAGCTGAAAAAGAGACTGTGGCATTGAATTTCTCTGAAAATGTGTAATTATTTACTTTGGTTAAGGCCCTTTTATTCTGAAGAGAAAAAGCAAGTTAAATACAAATGAGTGCCTAACTTTAAACTCTGTGCTTATTATTACAGATGCTCGTCTGAAACGCACTTTAAAACGTTTTATTTAATACTACGCAAGTTTGTGGTACCATACAGTGATTTTAGCCTTCTAATGTTTAGGTGTATGTAACGTTGCTGCTGCATCCTGCCCCTTAAACATTTACGGCAGATTTACAACACTTCCTTTTCCTAAGAGATAAACACAGAGGTCAGGTCAAGAGCTTGAAGTGACCATTAGAGGTAACCTCCCCACTTCACCCTGCAGTGTTTTTGGGGGGCTATTCCTGTAGGAGATGCCTCTCTGTGATCTCGCTACGCCCCAGCACCCCTCCTCCCCTCCTCCCTTGTTCCCTCCCCCTTGGGTATTAATCGCAAAGTATTTATCCCGCTTGAGAACTTTTCTTTCAATTTGTCTTTTCTTTGCTCCTCGGCGGGGGCAAAAAGTTATCCTTTGAGGGAGTCCAGCTGCCGGGGCGCATGCGCCTCTCTCTCCCTCTCTCTCTCTCTCTGGCGAGTGATTTACTGATGTTTATCAGGAATGAATAGATCAAAGGCAGTCGCATGACAGGCGATCAATCAAGCATCAAATCAAGGATGGCAATCCCAGAGCGGAACTGAAAATATGCCACTTTTCTTTCTCTTTCTTGCTTTTCTCTCTTTTTTTTTTGACTGCCACCAACACATCAAAATCACGTTAGCCTGTTAAAAAAAAAAAAAAAAAAAGAGATAAGATGATCTTTGTTTGTTTGGAGAACTTGGATGCTGGAAACCTAGTGGAGGATCCGCTTTCAAAGCGTTGGAACTGAAGTGCAGCTGAGCGCATTCATTCCTTCAAGAGGCGCAGAATGGGCATCGAGGCATGGCTGCGTAGAAGAAAGAACGCTGTGCGCCAGTCAAAACACGCCTTAGATTAGGAGAAATAAAAGGTATTGTGGGGGCTGATGAGAGATTCGGATTTGCTCTCTACACCGAATGCTCGCACCGCCTCGAGTCTGCTAGCCCTGTATCGTGTCCTGCATGAGGCACAACAACGGCGGAGTAAACTTGTCCGCATACCGAGCGTGATTCCTGGCTGTTTTGTCGTGACTGTGAGAATAAAGTGCGTGTGTTTCTGTTTGTTTCTGGCGAGCCGGGGCTTACCTGCTGACCGCCGCGGCGCTTGCTGCTTTCTCCTCGGCATGCTGCTGCGAGACTTTCCGCTTGACTTTTCATGCAGAGATCAAAACAGCGGACGAGCTGGAGAGGAAACCCAAAGTGAGGAAAAGCAAAGCCAGCGGCGCTTCCTCGGTTCTTCAGCGGGGATGTTAGAAATAAAGTGTAGATCCCTCGCAGGGGGGCGAAGAAGTCTCTGTTTTGTCGGTGCGAGGCGAGGTTTAATCTCTACTGGTCATTGTTTGTAATCGGTGTGTCCGGTGAGAAAACGAAGAATACAAATCATTTAAAGCACAAAAAAGGGGGGCTCGTCCGTTAACTTCTGCCGATCGCAGAAACTCATCGCGGGCTGGGTCGGTGGAAGAAAAAAAACAAAAACTGGCGGAAAGCTCCGTGCGGATCTCAAGTCTATCGAGGGCGGATATGGACAGCTACCGGAGCTCCTCGCCGCGTTCCCATCAAAAAAAGAGGTTTACACCCCCTCACTGGACTAATTCGTACCTCTGTTCACAGCAAAAAGTGAAGAAAAACCGGAGCTCCCCTTCTGGCGTTTTAACTCACTCGGCGGCGGAGAGCACACTGCGCTGTGGTGTTTCGCTCCGTCCGTCCGTCCGGGTGCCAGCTCCGAGCACCGGTCCACAACCTCCGCTAGTCTTCGGGAGGAAATCAGGAAAAGGGGAGAGGAAAGAGTGACACGTTAGCCGGGCTGTGTGTCAATCAGTCAAGTGTGTGTGTGTGTGTGTGTGTGTGTGCGTGTGCAGCAGCAATCAGCTCACACACCCCGTCTCCTTGAAAACAGCCTCTGGATAAAGAAATACTCACATATACGCGTGTCCGTCCCGATTGTCAACATGGACACTTGACGAATTTCTCAGAAAGTCAACACCAAAACAACGAGCGGGGCCCGCCCTCCGAGCCGCAGACCGTGCGCGTACTGCCGCTATTGTGTCGCGCTTTTGTATTTAGCGTTATTTGTTCTAAAAAGCGCAACGAGCGTCCCCCGGATATTCTCCGCAGTGAAATGTGCGCACGTTTGGTGATGCGCGGTGCGTTCAGACAGCTCTCTCCACACTGACAGACAAGACACATCCAGCTGCCTTTCCGGGCCTCTCCTTTACTCCACCCCTCCACAAGCGTCACCCTGACAGGCAGAGCCCACCTGTCAATCTCAGCCTCTAATTGTTCACTGGGATGGCTTTCAGTCCAACGCCTTTCCGTCTCCGCACGCACATAAATGCGCGCGCGCACAGGATACACAGGAGATTTGTAAACTTGCGCTTTAGCAACAGAATGAGAGCTGCCTTCAAAAAAAGTTGACGTGCAGCCTGTGTGTGTGTGTGTGTGTGTGTGTGTGTGTGTGTGTGTGAGAGAGAAGGATTTCTAAAAATCTAAATCAGATTTGGTTTAATAGTCACTGCTGCTACAGTACCGATATATTATGAGCCGAGGACTGCAATGTTGTCATCGACAACACGAATCCATCGTTTTAATATGCAAATACAAATAAAATCTCCATAAAAAATCGCTAAAAAGCAGCAATAAATCTATTAGACATTGTTGATCCGACACAAGGAGGATACTCTTTCTACAAGCACAGCAGAATCAGGCCTGTCTGATTATTGGGATTATAAACCTGAAACATCAATCACTAATAATTCATGTAAACAGTGGGACTTGGAATCTGTGGCGACAAAAAAAAAAACTGCCGTCAAGAAACAACTTCCGCAAATGACATATCTTCTATATTCTTTGAATAAAACATATACTTTTACGACACTCTGCTGACTTTTTTCTCTCCGTCGACCACAAAATGTAAGAAAAATGAGTTTGTTTTTACTCTCTCAGACATCCTTAAGTGTGCAGTGCAGATCAGCTCTCAGCTCTGCTCCAAAGTAAAAAAATGTGGAGATTTTCAGTGACCTCTTTAGCGGGACAAAGGAGGCTGCAGATCGATTCGTTACACCTTTTTTTTTTTTTAGTGCGGCTTGTGGTGAAGGGGAGGGGCTCTGAATCCACAAGAGGCTCCATTAATAGCATACACTCGGTCCTAACTATTATCCACCATAAAGTGTTTATAAAGAGCACACAAGTAGGCTAATGTTATCTCAAACGAGACGGCGTGATTTAGTGCTGGAGAGGATGGAGGAGAAGAGAGAAGGGAACGAAGTCTAAAGTTTGAGTGATATAATCACAAATAACGTGGATGGCACGAGAGCTGGCTCTGGATGCGCTCCTCTTCCGTCTGCGGGCAGCTGTAGGACTTTAGGACACTATATTCATCCGGCTACACCGGCTTCGGTCCGAGGTGCGACCGTTAGGTTTGGACCAGATCATTGACAAGACACTGGAATACGAACTCTCTGCAAACTGTCCAGGTTGAACTGATTCTGGTGAGTTTCTGAATTTTAACCTCTCCAACCTCACCTTCTTCTTCTTCTTCTTCTTCCAGTGAACAGGTAATAAACAGCCGTGTGTCTCCTCCTCATTACGCACAGCAGTGAGGCTCCTCGGAAGATTTCTGCGTCTAAACGCTCGGTATTTCTGAGCACCACTGCCTGTCTGCGAAAAAACTGATCATCTGTGCAGAGAGGATGTCTGAGGTCGCCTATTATGTGCTAAAAGAAACACCAAGTACCGCCCCAACATCTGTCTATCGCTGTCTGTCAAAGCGGCCTGCCCGCTGATTGATGGAGACGACTTACGTCACTGTTTTCACGCTCAAGTCTGCACACAGACAGAGAGACAGACAGACAGACAGGAGAGCTGCAGTTCACAAATGATTGTTCCTCGTCTTGGGGATGTTTTACACACATTTAAAATGTCTGTCCACTTATTCAGACTGATCACATTTAAGAATCAATTACAAACACAAATCACATTGAAAACCTGATCATATATTAACAAGACAACGAAGTCAAATTATATTTGAATTATTTTATTCTGCAGCCAGTGTTGGCTCACTTAAAATAATTACAAATACTGTTGTTGTATTTGTAAAATGCTTGAATTTGCTTTTCTCTGAGTCGAGTGCGACTGTGCAGTGCAGGACTGTGTTATCACTGCAGCATACCTCATCCCTGAAACAAAAACATTAAAGGTTGGGCTGCAAATACATCAGCAATGCAGATGTGAACTGCTTCACGGCCCCCGAGTGAGGTTTTTCATTACACTATTTATTTTACTATTTTTTGTGATACTGAGAACTATTAAAATAGAATGAGAAAAACAGAATGTTTGATCCTTCATTTGAATGAAACCATTCTCTGCTTTTAAACTATTTGCAACATTGAGTGCTCATTAAGATACGGCTTATAAAATGTTGAGGTCAGTGACTAAAACCTGAGAATAAAATGAACCCAACTTCTGTCACAATACACAATAAAAGCTAGACTATACAGTCTAGTAATTCTTTTTGTGTGTGATAGTTTAGTGAGTGAGGTATCTCCTCTTGCTCTAGGGAGCAGAGGCTCAGCAGAGAAGCTTATGCATGATCTGATCCCGGGCCAGCAGGGGGGGACATGTGGTTCAAGAGGCAGGGTGGTAACCACTACTGCATTGAAATGTCTGTCCATGTGCAGGAATTATTCAAATTTTCACGTTACAATCACAACGTTTTTCTCTGTCTTTGTACTACATTTCTCTTACATCATCCTTCTCTTTTTATAATGTCTTGCTTGTTTTTATTCAGTTTCTTTAGACAGCATATGTACAACTACTGTGAAAGTTCATTTTTTTTACATCAGTGTCATTTTATGTAAATATGTGGTGATAAGTTGGGCTTTCATTTGATAAGAATTTCCATTAAATTGCACCGCTTCTCCCTGAAAGTCACAGATAATATGTTAACTTTACAGCCGAGATAAAAAAAAATGATAACCTTTGACATACTCTATGTGTTCCAAGTACATTGACAATTTCAGATATTTACGTATTTTCCACAACAGAAAGCCACACACGATCAGGACATCATGATCCAAATTGCTTGCCACAGTAGTTATTCTACTCGTGACGCAACCCCCCGTCCCCCACCCATCCATGAGCATGAATGACAAAAGCCGAATGCACAAACACTTGTTTCCCACCACCCCCAACTTGTATACATGAAGCCTCTCTTCCACATACTGTGGCACGGTGACAGCGCGATGACATGCCATCCTGTTTCCTTTTCTTGTGTGTGATGAAACTCCCTCAGAGCTGGTGAGAACATCCGTGTAGTTGTCATGTATATTTTACATACATTATGCTCTACTTTCTTTTGTCTCTTTTTTTTTTTTCTTCTAGGTCTGACGTGACCATCGACGAAGCTGTTTATGAGATCTACTGGATAATGCTGCAAAGGAGTTCTGCTAGTTGTCAAATGAGGTGAGGGACCTTTTTGGATCTTAAACTCAACTAACAAAAATACTTTTTCTAATGGAAATACTGTAACTTTAAATACAGTGTGGTTCCCAAAAAAATTAAAAATATTGGGAATGATATGCCACCGATACACATTTACTCATAAATACGTGATTCAATAACATCCTAAGTTTTAAGTGTGAGAAACATTGTGAGTAATACATTTGTGTCAAATATAAATGTCACCTGTAACGCACCTTTCAGCACATTTTTCACATGAAAGACAATTCCTACTGAGCTATAATTTCATTTCTTTTTTTGTATGCCACCTAACAATTCTGAAAATTATTTGTAAAATCTAATGATTAGTTTAAAAAAAACCCAAAATAAAACCAATAAAATCAAAGTCATGCCTTGAGGTTTGTGTGTTGACATTTTGTGATGCTTAAACAAGTCGTGGTGAGCTGCTTGCCGGTCAAACATGAGACACACAAAATGTGCAACTTTAAAAATTTCCAGAACCAATACAACTGTAAATATTACCTTCTCTCGTCCCCTTTGTCTTTTCTATTCTACATCATCTTTACTATCATCTATAACCTTCTCCTCCCCTTGTTTTATCATCATCATCACTGCCACAGAGAGCATCACATGACCCCATAAATTAAAAATAACTATACACTCAAATGATATAAAACGTCAGAGACACCCACTGTAGCATGACTTCATTATTTTGACACCAATCAACAAGCTGAAAACAGTTGCAGTGGAACTGTCTGCCATGCAGCAAAGGGAAGTTCTTCTATTGACAAAGTATAGAGCATAGAGATGTATGAATATGATCTTTTACATTTCTGATTTCTCAACAGGTTGTATTCGGTGAAAGCGATGCATTTCAGTTAAATTCAAAAGATAGTTTTCGAATTATCTTGGCAAGAGCAAAGTACATCAACAAAAATGGCCATGACGCAAACCGAGAATTCACTGTCTACCTCTTAATGTTCATTAATAATTGATGTTGTATTGCAGATTTTGGCCTGTGGCTAACCATTTTGCAGCCATAAACCTCTGATGTCAAAAGGTTTGGGCTCCTCTGGCGTGCAAGTACCGCAAATTGGCTGTCAGGGGTCCAATGTGGTGCTTAACGTCTCTGTGATGTGTGTTTTGACGAACCTCTTATATCTCGATGCTAGTTGTATAAAGATCTGCCACAGCAGCGCCGGACGTCAAAACTTATTCTTGGTGGACTGAAATAGAGTGGAAATCATTTCTCTCTGTGCCATTCAAATAAGTTAACAGTTGGAATGACGAAGGCTTACAGCTTATGATAATGCCCCTCTTCATAATCTTGAGTAATCTTCAATCAATGATGGGTCCTATCAGATTCCAGACACTCATTGACAGTCTGAATATAAGAATATATAATAAAAAATTAATAAAGAAGAGGCTCTAACTTTGACATGAGCTATATCTCCACATCTATCTGATAAGACTGCATAATTAAAATGCCAAGTGTGAGTATGGAGAGAGAGAGAGAGAGAGACAGAGGTTTTGATATTTTATAGAGATTTACTTTTCCACGACTTCTTTAATGTGTAGACTTAAAAAACGATATGTTGCTGTAGTTTTGACAATGCAATTAAAGGTTTGTAATCCCTGCCTGAGCTTTTTTTTTCTGATTTTGTCAGTTTGGACGAGGAATGTGATGAAATGCTGTGCCGCGGTGACAGATGCAGGTTTATTAAAGGATCCCAGTCTCGCAGGGTTTCGAGGTGTTATTTTATAGCAACAAGAAAGCTGAAAGGAGAGGAAGCAACTTCAGCTTGTTTACATGAACTATGGAATAATCGTTCAGCAGAATCCACACAGAGGTTCAGAAAGCAGTTATTTGTTCCTTCTTTTAAACGATGCGCTACATTACATAGCACCACAGGCCCCAACTTCATCTGAGATTTCCTGCTTCCTTGAAACAACTCTGC